CTAAGGCTAGATTATCACATTTGGGAAATATGATATAACCATTGCACGATTCTACTCACTCTATACCTCTCGGTAGTTCGAGTGATTTTGCACGAATTGACTTTCTCAAGACCAATTGGGTATGCAAATTTGCACAAGCAATCAAGGTTCAAGTCGGGTATTATTATCTCTAGGTTTAACCCTTTAATTGGGGCTATCAATCTCTTGAGTACGCCCCAATTCTTTGTTGGACCAATTTCAAAGACTTAGGCTCTCTTTCTCAAGAAGAGCCAAAGTCAACTAAACATAAACTAGTGTTTGCAACCACTAATTCAGCAATTAAATATGAAATTAGTCCAAATATCAAACACCCATAGACAATCAAGCATCAAAACACAAGACCCATCAATTACTCACACTAAGGTTGAGCCACAACCCTAGCTTATGGGTCTAGCTACTCATAAATAGAGAAGAAAACAAAGGAATAGATGAAGAAAAACTCATATTAATGAATTGTTAAATTAAACTTGAAGATTCAATGTTGAAGTGAAGCTAAAATTACTCAAAACAGCTAAAATAAACGAAGTCAAGAGCACAGCCTTCAGTACAAACTATCTGATGACCTAAAAAATGGAAAAGAAGCTATTTATACTAAGTTGACAATTCTGGATAAAAATACCCATGCGAGGCTAGTGCGGACCGCACAAAATCAAGTGTGGCCGCACTAAGGCTCTTGACTTGAATATCCAGCTCTCTGAACTTGGGCAATGCGGACCGCACAAAATCGAGTACGGCCGCGGTGGCTTCTAGTGTGGTCCGCATGAAATGGAGCGCGGACCGCATTGGGCTTCAATCTTCAAATTGGAAACTCTTTGAACCTTGGCTCTGCGGACCACACTAAATCGAGTGCGGCCGCAGTGAATCCAATGCAGACCGCAGAAAATCTTTTGCGGCCGCATTGCCTTTTGGCCTGAGATGCACACTCTCTGAACTTCACTTGTGCGGACCGCACAGAATGGCATGCAGCCACACTGGCCCTGTTTGACTGAGTTTTGCCTTGTTTTGGTACTTGTGCAAGTTTCACTCCATTTTGAGCTGGTTTTTGACACCTTGTTACCTTGTTGATCAAACCTGTAATCAAGCACAACTTGTGAGCCTTTGGGACTATTTTGTACACATTTCTAATCAAAGCTTGAGCATGAAGGAGTGTAAAATGCATTATAATTCCTAGTTATCAACTCCCCCAAACTTAAGCTTTTGCTTGTCCTCAAGCAAACAAAATAAGACCCACCCCTTAAGAGAAAATCCAAGAAAATTCAGCTGTCCTAAAGTGACCTCATCTAGCATCAATTGGGACTAACAATTGTCCTCAATACAAATGAATCATTAACAATATTTACTCTTTTAAACACCATAGATTAAGTGAGACACAAGAGCATCAAGAGTTGACTCTACATATCAATGAACTTTTTCTATTACTTTGGTCATTGTGGAACCCAAACTCATACATCCTCAACTTTCCCTAAGCAAACCTCACCTTTAGGATAGTGGCACTCAGAACGAGGTTAATGGAAACACACTCATCTCTCTCAAGGAAAAGTCACAAGTCCGGCTCTAAGTACCATATACTTACCCCTTATGTGAGTCACCACTAATGTAAGCTTCATTTAACTCAAGATCATATAGGGCTTTTGTGGAGACATAGTGAAGGCTTTTGGTTCAGGGTAGGAAATGTTTGGTCTAAGTAGGTTCCATCTTCCCTTAAGCACTTCTTTTGTTTCATTTTGGCACACATTCACTTGACTTTTTAAGTCATTTCACTTCTTTCTAAGGGGTTATAGAGACACACTGTCACTCTTTCTTGTTCATTTCAAATCTTTTCTCCTTTCTCAATTTTCCACACCTTTCATTCTTTGATTTTCTTGAATCCCTTTTATTCATTTCTACATTGAACATTCTTTTTGTCTTTTTGCTTTTCTTTCTTTTTCATTGCCTTTTCTTTTCTTCATTTTGTACCTTTTTATCACTTTGTTGCCATCCTCGTCTCTTCCCCCAAACTTATACTTATTCCATGTGCTAAGTAAAGATCGGGTGCCAAGAGAGGGTATCTTTTAGAACGGGTAAAGGCTTGTATTATGGTTCTTGAAGGAAAAAGGTCTAAGGCTCAAAAGAGTTGACTAGGGATTTTTATCATTGGTGGGGTATGGAAGTGTTCAAGCTATCATTTGGATCAAGGAGAGCCTATAATCATGTCTCAAGTCAAAATTCACTTAGGATTTTGCCTCAACAAACATTCAGGGCAAGTTCTAGACCAATGGCTCGAGACTTAGACTTGCAATGCAAATTTCTCACCACACAAGCTATGGGATCGCTAAAGACACAGAGTCGGGGGCCCACAACAATATTAGATAAGATTTGAGCACACAATGGTCTCAAAAAAACACTTGATGATTATCGGTCAACAAAAGAGTCTCAAGGTCACGACTTTCACCATTCTAAACACAACAATTTGTTTTTGACCATGAGATCAAAAGCAAATGTGCTAGGCCCAAGTGAAGCTTTGCTTGAGGCACCCTTAACCACTAACTACTAAAAAGTAAAGAGAAAAGAAAAACAGACTCAAACCCTTAAGAAGGTAGTCATGTTATCCATCATCGGGAAGAGCCACCCGGTTCACACAAATTCCACATTTGGAAAGAACCGTGGCATTAAGAAAACCAAAGGCTTATTGCAAAAATCCAAAACAAGAAGCTACGAACACAAATAAGAAGTTAAGAAAGAAAAAATTGCGGAAAGTAAAATGAATATTTACAAGAGGGGGGGTTTAATCGAATATACAATAAGGGAGATGAATATATACAATGGAACATACTTTTATATACATACCCAAGATAAAAAGTGCGGGAAATGTAATAAAGTGCTAAAATTATATACATACCAAAGATGAAAAATAAAGAAAGCATAAAATCTGTCAAATATATACATTCATCCAATCAAATCAAAGTAGGGTCTACCCCCTCAAATGAAAGATGGCATTGTCCTTAATGCCAACTAAGAAAATAAGCACCAAAAATAAAAGGGAAGAGGATATAGAAACTCCCTATGGCTCATCTGTCTGCATGGGATCCTGAGTGGTCCCTGGGTCCTCTGTAAGCTCGGGAACTTGAGATTGGCTCC